TGCAGGAAAAAATGCAAGAAAATTATCTAGCCAGTATCAGTGCAGACAGAAGGGTAGCCAGATGGAGACTACTTGTCTTACATGATGTGTGATCACAAAGCTCAAGGGACCAACCATGCGGCTGAGCTGGGTTTGCTCTAGAAACACACAGACAGGGCCTGGCGGACAATTAACCAGCAAACCTGAATTTAAGATGGTGGGTTGAATCATGTCATTTGAGGAAGACAAACAGCAGAAATTCAAATCTGGGGTGAGTGGAAATTGTTTCAGTGGCCAGTTTTGCACTTAACTCTGCCCTCGACCGCATTTCAGATGATTGAGTAGCAGCAATCAAAGCATATTATTACCATCCTAAAAATATCAGGGTTGTATGTCAGTCTGTATCCCTATGTTGATGCTTTTTACAAAACTATTTGAACAGACTGCCCAAATGTGCTGATTAGGAGACAGGAAGTAATATTACCTCTAGATAGCAGGGGTCCTGCCTTCTACGAAGGAGCATTCTTGATGTACACGTTCTAAAAAGGATACAGAAAGTCTGGAGAGAATTCTGAAAAGAACCGATTTGTGGTCTGAAAAAGCATAAACTGTACCACCAAGACACACTACACAAAGCTCTTTCAGGGATGACTTTCTCCTGGTTTGGGCACCTACACAGGGAGATCTGATACAGCAGGCTAAAATATAACAAAATCCAGGGGTGAGGAGAATAGAAGTTGACAAAATCAAAATACAAAATTGTTAGTAGTAAGCACTGGAATGTATTACCAAACAATAAGGCTTAGTGATTGCAGAGGTTGAATGGTTTTGTAAAAGCATGTTCTATTTCCAACAAGTATAACAGAGCTTGATCGGTGTTCACTTATGCAATAGTAAAGGAGTCATTTGCTCTAGTATAACTGGTATAATTGCATTGCATGCAGACAGACAAGTCAATATGAACCTGAATTTCTACCATGAAGAGAGAGACGAAACAATGAAACGTTCTACCTCGAGAAAAGCAAATCTCACAGCATTGCAATTAATTATCAATTTCCAAATCAGTTTGTAAAGTTTACTAATGCACAATGAAATGTCTCTCTCAGAGACAGCAATTACTAGTGTTAAATTTATAAATGCCTGCTGTTCCCTTTTAGTTAAGAAAATAAGAAAACAACAATATGAAAACAAAGCATGTTTTGCCAACACTGTAGAATGCATGAAACCTGCAAAACAAGGAAGTGCTAGCCCATTGACACAGACATCTTGATTATTGCAGCTTTTTATGAAGGAATTTTAATGGCTTTCAAGTGCAAGACAAATATTCCTCAGAATATCACTATATACCTTAAGAAATATTTAAATGCTTGTAAAACAATGTTTTTATTCTCATCACAACATTACCCAGACAGTTCTTTCAGGAGTGGGAAGGAACATTTAAAATCTGCCCTTATAGAGTTTTCAGCTAGAGAAATTAAACTTAATTGCAATGAACTGTTCAGGAGTGACACAGTCACAATCACTAATTAACAGCTTTTTTTTTTAAAAAACAGTAGCTTCATAATCCCCTCCCCACTTATTGAGCACCCCCCATCCCAGGCCTCCTGTCCACCCCTGCCTAGTACTCTCCCCACCTAGTGACAACTGTTTTTGCACAAAACCCAGCAGAGCGTCCACACCTCAAGTGCGTTTTTGCGCGCGCGCGCGCACACACACACACACACACACACACACACACACACACACAAAATACAGTAAATCAAAAGGACAGAGGGCTTTTGCCGGTACAGTTATTTCTCTCCCCACAAGGAATAACTCCTTTTTGCGCTACAGCTTTTGTGCAAAAAGGCGTGTGTGGACGCTCCGCAGGGGTATCTTGTGCAAAAAGAGCCTGTCACAAAAAGCACACGTGCTCTGATGGCCATTCTGTGGCTGGCCATCAGCGCTTTCTTGCGCAAGAGTGTCCACGCAACGTGGACGCTCTCTTATGCAAAAGTGCATCGCTTTTGAGGTGTGGACGTGCTGTTGCGCAAGAAGTTTTTGCAGAAGATCTCTTCCGCAAAAAGCTTCTTGCGCAAAAAACCTGCAGCGTAGACAAAGCCAAAGGCGCTTGCTGATTGGGTAAGCACCCAGCCACTCACCGCTCGCCTCCCTTAGGACTCTCCTGCTCGCTGGTCCCGCCCTCTGGGATGTACGCAGGAAGGTGGGGTGCTCGGGGCACGGCCCAATGGGAATCGAGCTCCTTGTTTTCCAGGGGAGCCACGCAGAGGCGGGCAGCAGGTCATGTGATTAGTGGGGGGGACGGACTTGGGAGAACTCTGCGACGCATAAGGGTGTGGCCTGGTTGTACAGCAAGTGCCTGTAAAGGACATGGGGCCTCTGGGGAGCACAACGGATGCCTATAGGCGACATGGAGGTGTCTGGGGAATACAGCTGCACCTATGCAGGACATTGGGTCTCTGGGTTGCACTGCAGGTGCCTTTGCAGGACATGGAGGTCTCTGGTGAGAATAGTGGGTGTCTAGGAACATGGGGCCTCTGGGGAGTACAGCAGGTGCCTATGGAGGACATGGGGTCTCTGGTGAGAACGGTAGGTGCCTGTAGGGGACATGGGGAGCATAGTGCATGTCTATAAGGGGGATAGGGTGTCTGAGAGCCAGAGTGGGTTAAACAGGGGTATAGGGTCTCTGAGAGGCATTGTTGGTGTATACAGGGGCGGATACAGGGCAGGGCGAACGGGGCGGCCGCCCCGGGCCCCATGCTTCAAGAAGCCCTGCGCATGCGCCATGGCAAAGGGGGGCCCCGCAAACTTGTGCTGCCCTGGGCCCCACTAATGGTCATCTGCCCCTGGATGTATATATAAGATTTCAGGGGGCTACAGTGGATGTATATAGGAGGATAGAGTCTGTGGGGTATGTAAGGGTTATAGGGTGTCTTGGAGTATAGTATAGTATGTGGATGGTGTCTCTGGGGAGTTAGAGGGAAGGGGTGGAATGGGGGTACAGGAGGAGCAAGGAGAGGCAGGGTTTGAGGTGATATGGGTGTTGACCTGGGCCCTGCACCCCCCTAGAGATGGCCCTGCCTACACCTCTTATGGAGGTAGCCTTACTATGTCAGGTTAGTGGGCGACTTCCACTGGCAGAAGAAACACTGTGGTGCGGAAGTTTACAGAGTTAAGTCAACGTGTAAGCTGCCTTATGCGGATGTAACTCTGTCATGTAGGCCACGTCCAAGTGGGCATACGGTTAGTAGCTAGTAAGAGGTAGCAGCTGAAGCTGCAGAGGCTGGGGCCGCCAGCAGCTGGCAGCAAAACTCACCAAAAACGAGTGGTGAGCTGCCCTTCGAATCAATATGAATGTCACTGTTCTATTTTTTTTTCCCCTGTGTGCCACTGTCCAAATGTGTAACAAAAACTCCATCTGGAAGAATAAAGTACTGATGGGTCAAAACTGAAGTGTTGTGAGATTCCTTTTTAGTTTTAATTTAGTTTCCTCTTTGTTTTAATTCTTTATTTCTATTAAAATAGTTTTCCAAACAATAGAAGAACAAACACCAAGCATGTGTAGAATATAGGTAACTGGGACCAAATGAAAGATCTGGCAAGAAAGACTCAGGAAGAGAAGTATTTTGTAATGGATAGTCCCTCATCTTACCTGGATTTATTTTCCATTTACCCCATCTGTAACAGGACAGGAAAGATATTCAAAGAGGGAGGAGAGGAGGGAAAACAAAGACAAAACCAGCAGAGGTGTCAAGTACAGAAACCAAGTGAAGGAAATTGACCACAATGTGGAACTAAATTAAAAGAAAAAAATTTAAAATGGACAGGAAACCAAGCCAGAGCGGACAGATACCAAGACAAAGCAAAAACTGAAAAACAAAAATGTATCGTCTCACCCCAAAATGCAACCAAGGAAAGTAAAGATACACTTAAAATGCAAAAGACATTGAAAAGGGACACAATATAGCAAATAAGCTCAGAGGGGTGTTAGTCTATAACTTTAAAAATGACAAGTGCTCCTGTGGCACCGTAGAGACTAACAAATATATAGCATCGTGAGTTTTCGTGGGTAAAACCCACTTCCTCAGATGAGTTGGAATGGAAATAGAATTCAATGCATCTGAAGTGGGTTTTACCCATGAAAGCTCATGATTCTATATATTTGTTAGTCTCTAAGGTGCCAGAGGATTGTTCCTTGTCCATAAAATAGCTTCAAAGGAAAAAGTTGTGATTACATCCTACACTCTTCTGCAGATTACACGTGAAGTCCTCTAAACTATCATTTTGCGGTATTGCCTTATTTTTACTTTGGGAACAATATTACCTGTTTATTAACTAACGTTTCCATTTAAAAAGGTTTTCCTGCTGCACAACGCTAGTATCCTGGAATATTTGCAAAACACCTTTGCTTCTGCAATCTGAAATCCAGGGGGGTTTACAGGTAACACTGGCGATAGCTTACATACAATTTCACTTCCACTCACTGCCAAAAACAACGATTCAAGTTTGCATACCATTTTGAAATACTCAGGATCTGCCTCCCTCCACCAAATTCTCCATCCTGGGGCTCTCTGGTTCGAGGAAATAGTTGCTAAGCTTTCCCCACAGGCCTCTAATGAGTACCCCTTTGCAACTCCTTTGCAGGCCTTTTTTCTCAAGTTCCCTTCCGAACCTGAGTGCCCCAAAGCTCTGCTGCTGGTTGAATCTGCTGTAGGAAAACCCCTCTCTGCAGAATCTGATCTGCAGCTGAAGTATCCCTGTGGTACAGCATTGCTGTAACCATTCCCCCGCACCCTCAGGATCTGGATCCCAGCAGGCGTGCAGCCGGCTTGTGTTCCCCTGGCTTTCTGCGGATCTGTGTTTTGGCAAGTCTGCCTGAGCACTGCAAGGCAGAACTGACAAGCAGGAAGTAAGCAGGGGAGAACCATTTGTGTAAGACGAAGAGGGGAATATTTCAAGGGCGAAAGTTTTGCTTTCCATGGAGTTGCTAAGGGGAGCACCTGGGCCACCCCTGCGCCAGGCTACAGGGGCCTGGGAGCAGTTGGAACTTGGTGTCACAGAGCATCCCAGGGCCCAGGCGGAGAGGGAGCTGAAATGACTGGCCCCCCTGTGCTATGAAGCCTGTTGGGGTGCCTGCCTCTAAAGGAGTGCCGGGAAGGCATTAGATTGATCACAGCCGATTTCCCTGCACCATGGGTTGGGGCAGGAGCTGGGAGGCAGGGGTAACCCTGTACCCGTTCCTCCTCCAAGCCGTCTTTGGATCTTACCTGCTTCACGTGGATGTTTCCCAGGTTGAGAGACCCCTGAAGCACTTCTGGAAAAGCACTGGATTCTGGTAAGCGCTGTTTGCTGCCTGAACACCCTCCCCCTGCCCTCTCTAGAAAGCAAGAGTCCGCCTGAAGTTCATGCCAGCGGCTGGAAAGCAAGGATGCTCTCCCTATACAGGTTGCATGGGTACCATCCATGGAATCCCCTACACACTCCCTGCAGATAGGCTAAACCGGCCCTATACATGTGAGAAGGCAAGTACCCAGTTCAGGTAGTTAGATATTCAGGGTCTGTTTTCTAGACATCCAAGTATCCTCTCCTTCCTCACCACACTTTGCTACTGGCTGCTAGCGTAGCCTCGTGCAGTGGGGCTGCACAGCTGCAGCAGAGAGCAGAATATAGCCCAGGATTATGTTCCTGTAATGAGGCCTAATCTATGCTCTCCCCTGCCATCAGTCTAATCTGCATCCCTTCAGCTATGCAAATCGTGCGGCTGAAGTGGATGTACTCATCACGGTGTGTGCGGTCAAGTTGGCAGGAGCTGCTCCCCCAGTGATGCCGGATACTCTTCTCATCCTGGTGGAGTTCCGGTGTCAATGGGAGAGCACTCAGAGATTGATTTGTCAATGGGAGAGCACTCGGAGATTGATTTGTCAATGGGAGAGCACTCGGAGATTGATTTGTCAATGGGAGAGCACCCGGAGATAGATGTGTCTAAGCAGATGCGATAAATCGACGGCCGGTGGATCAATTGCTACGGCGTCGATCCCAGGTATAGTGGAAACAGGCTCTTATAAGCGTCAGATGGGTAACTGTGTTAGTCTGAATCTGCATAAACAACAAGAAGTCCTGCGGCACCTTATAGACTAACAGATTTATTGGAGCATACGCTTTCGTGGGCAAAGACCCACTTCGTCAGATGCAATGCAAGGCTCTTATAAAGCATTTGTTTTCCTGCACTGGATAAATAGCCTGCCAGTCTGAGGACTTGTCTCCGCTACACCAGGGACTAACACTGCAGATGCGATCAGACACGACAAATCGATCTCCAGGTGCTCTCCCGTTGACACCGGTACTCCACCTGGGCAAGGAGAGCAGCCCCCGCCGACCTACTCACACGCACAAGGCTGCATTCATCCCATTTTTACACTCCGCAAGTCATCTTTAACCATGTTTTTACTTCACACCAGGGATGTAAAACCCCGTTTAATTCACAAACCAGTCAAACGTTGAAGTTTAATCAGTTAATGGATTAAACCGGGGTAGGCGGGGGCCCTCATGCCACAGGCAGGGGCTGCTCGAGC